ATTATGTTATTCATATACACATCAAAAAATAAAGTTAGGCTTGTGTGCATTCATTCGTATGAGTGAAATAAATATGATCGTGTTTGATTGAGACACTTTGCTTTTCTCGCATAAAAATATATTCGTTACTGTGCTTGTTCTATCACTCATCGATCGAACAGCTTAAAGGAACGCAAGAGAGTGAGTGACTCAATGGTTAGAAAATATGTGCACGATACGACAGCTTTACCGAGTAGCTATCTAATTCGAGTTCGAATATGAATTGTGATTTTGAAAAACACATACAAGCACAACCATTAGTAAATAAATATTTAGTTTCAATCATTCATAAAATTAAGGAAAATTTTAAATATTCCTGAATACATCGTATAAGATTTTATTCTATGTGAGAAAAATTAAGTGTGAACTAGACACCTCAACATGGTTTCATTTTTGATGAATGACATTCGATACAACACTATTTTTGCTACTCAACAACCACATTTTGTTGCTGAACAAGTATTGTTGTAGTTGCATGGTTTCATAGGAGTGTTTGATCCTGTATTGACATATGAATCAACTTCATGTAAATGACGACTGTTATAGCTGGATAAATGTGATAGATAGTGTGCTTGGAACCGTTAGAAGATTATGAACGTTATAGATTATAATGGATCGGCATCTATATCATTTAATGTTGATTGAACCAATATTACATTACACGGCAGTAATTTAGATGTAACAAATGTTCTGTCCATTTTGCTAACTTTTACCTCTACCAACTCTTTAACTTCGATTAATATAAAATTTTTATGCCGCTAAAATTTGAGATGAGGATCTTACTAGCTATCTCCAAAGAGTTATATTACGTTTTTATAGAATGATCATTTTATAGACAAGTCATCTCAAAACTTGTGATTCAAATATTAGATATACTCATCAAATAGTTTATAAAAGTATCGATGATCATATCACTGTTAATATACGAATACCTACTTGTGTAATGCGCGCAATGTTTATTTAAATATCTATGCTTATTTTATTCTGAACTTCTATCCATTGTACCGAACGTAACAGATACTTCAGTTTTTCCTAAGAGGAACTAAAATTTTTTTCTTTGAAAAAGTCCAGTTAAGAACGAAATTTCAAGTGGTTCTAGGAGAAACTGAAATAAAAGATAAGTGTAATTGGCACTAGTAGAAATTCAAATTTTAAATTCTACTAGAAACTTGTACTATAGGAATATGTGAATTTTTTCTGTAAAACAATATAAAATAAACTATTACACGAATGATGCGATATGAAAAACGAAAAGGAAAGAAAAGATTTTGAACATACGATTTGAATTTTTCGTAACAGTATCAAACGAAAAAACATTTGAATAATATACAAAAAGGAATTGTTTTATTTGAAGCTTGGTAAACATATAGAATCTTTAGACGATAAATTTCGTTTAAAGTTTGTTATCCCATAAGTTATTTATAATGACATCATATTGATATTGAAAGATTGCTGGGCGAAACCCTGTTAAAATTTTGGGCCCATAAACATTTAAAATTAGATAGTATCGTGAGGTATTGATAAAATTGATAAAACCAACACGACACCAAAAGTTTTACCATGTAAGGTTATTTCAATACAATCATCGTCTGATAATGTCAATACCTATTGTCTTTGTACAAGAAAATGTGTTCTTTCGTTAAGACTCTATGTGAACGATCTCATTGATTTAAAAAAATTATTTTTGCGGAATTGCGTCCTCTTAATTTTCGAACCTAATCAACACAGACATTTATTCAAACTTGTAAAGATTATATTAGCAGTGAACTTACTACAGTGGTAGAAGCTTGTGCTTGTAATAGCTGGTGTGCTACAAAACAATGTCCATGCAAAGCAGCTAAAGTACTACATGGTACAAAGTGTCATCCTGCTAAAAAGAACTCTTGTTGATAAATTCAATGATCTTGAATGTTGCTCTCTAATTTATACATAAATAACTTGTATTCTTTTGTAGATCATCATTCATATATTGGTTTGTTTTTTATTCTAGCACAGAAGAAATTCACATACTTCTATACCAGAAGTTTGTAGTAGAATTTTAAATGCCCCTGCAACATATATATATATATATATATATACTAGGATGATTCAAAAGTTCCCAGAACTCCGGTATACCTATTTAGAGAAACAACATTTCATTAATTTCTTTTGCGATATATATTCGAAGTAGTTGCTGTAATATTACATGGGAAAATTCATCCTTTTAACTTACTCTTTAGGTATCCTTTCTAAGTAAACAGGAGGTACTGAATTGAGCACCTTTGTTATTACTTGAGTTTCGATAATGTTTTGAGTTGTCAACAATATGAAGAAGTTTCTAAGTGATGAACAGATTTTATGTGATATCATTAGCGGTTATCAGACATTGATGCGTCATTGCAATATTGGTTGAGAATCATTATTTAAACTTAGGACAACAAGAGAAACTAGTCCTACAAGCGACCTTTATTCGTGAGGGTATCAGAAATAATAATATATGTCAACCATTTTATGACATTCTAATCATTATTTGGTATCTAGTGATTTCTATATGAGCTAGTTATTCTATCTATATTAATGATTAATATTTAAATTCACAAATAAAAATGTTATCGAACAAAAAAGTACCATCATGGCCTATTCCGAACAGTTCTCATCATGGTTTTTTCCTCAGCAACATGTGAAATTGTACGATTATTTGCTTAAAATTGAGAGAAATGAAGGTAAACATCGCCAAGTGTACTCACATTATACTAGACTTTCACGCTCTTACTCATTGAGATGTATTCAAGATAGACTAGATAATCAGCAGCTACAACAATTTAGCCAGAGTTGTAACCAAGAAAATCAAATCAATACCTATTGCTTACTTCGAATGGATATCTAACGAATAAGTTAAAAAGATGAAACTTCGCATGAAATATTACAATAACTACCTTGAATATATGGTATAGAAAGATCGATGGAATATCGTTTCCCTAAATAGATGTAACGAAGTTCCGAGAACTTTTTGAAGACCCTATGTAGACGATAAAGATATAAGAACTCAGAGAACTACTTTGTAGAAGACCGACGCTTATGTTGATTTCACTCGATTTATGGTTTTCAAAAGAAACAAATGCTGTTCTATCAGTTAACCAATTAACTATTAATTTTAAAATTTCAAGAGGCATTTGCATTCGAGGGTGTGAGTGTGTGCACTCAAAAGAAAAGGTATCCGAGAAAATCCTTAAAGGGTTTCCGAGGGTTCGGAAACATATCAGAAGGCTCGAAAACCTATCTGAAACCAGCCTTAATGAAATACTACATACTACTCTCGGAAACCCATTAAAGGTTTCCGAGGTTCATAAACTGCGCACACAGCTATCTATGCCTAGTGACTCGGGAACAAAAAAATAACCAATCAACAAATCCATTCCAAGTCTACAAAACGATCCAAAAAACACTACACCGAAACGTCGTACGACGAGACATTTATCAGTCGATCACTTTCGCCCACTACGTCTAATATTAATATTCATCCCAACATTCTTCAATCACAACCTAAACAAACCAGTAAATATACAACTAAAATTCACACAGCTTCAAACAAATTTCACCTTGAGTTAATACTAAATGTAGAAAACAAACTCAAGAATAACTTCAGTAACACACACGAACTTTCCTCTCATTCATCATAAATTCACATATAACAATAGGATATACCTTCCACAGACCTCATCAATGGATTGTTGTTTTGTTCATCTAAACTAAAAAAAAAGTAAGAAATAGAATAAAGAGTTAAATGAAACGAACTCCCTCATGGATTGCCTTTACTTGACCCAAACTAAAGAATAGAGAAGTGAAATAGAGACTAAGTTGAAACAAACGCTCGGATGGATTGTCATTTAGTTCATCCAAACTAAACAACTAAGAAAAAGAATATACAATAGTTTGAAACAAACTCACCCATCGATTGCCATTTTGTTCATTCAAACTAAAAAGAAATAGATAGAATCTAGAAGTATATGAAACAAACTCACCCATAGAAGGTGTGGATGTGTTGGTGTGGGTGTGGATATGTGGGTGTGGAGTGGGTGAGTGTAGGTGTATGTGTGTGGGGTGTGGGTGTGGGTGTGAGGGTGAGTATGAGTGTGTGCGTGGGTGTGGGTGTAGGTGAATGTGGATGTGGGTGGATGTGATTGTGGGTGTTCTGTTTATTTAGTATTCTTGACTTCTAAAATGGAAAAGTGGCTTCGGATGAGAGCGAGCGTTGGAATGTGGATGTTGGCTAACAGAAAATTGGCATTGAAACTCTTATCGTATACTCTGGGTGTGAGTGTGCATGTGTGTAAAAGGAAATGAGCAGCTATGGAAGTGATTATCCTTTTGTATTCTATCAATGTCATTCAAACACAGATTTAACTCTTTTTTGTATTCACTATGCAGACAAACACTCATAATAAAAAAACAGACATTAATAAGTTTTAAAAGACTTTTTTTCGATAATTTTGATATAATCGAAAAAAATTATCATCTTCGATGACTTGTTTTGACACTGATCATCAATGCAAACGATGAGTCACAAAATGCGATGTAGGCATGGGTGTAGATGAATGGGGGATTCATACCGCACACCCACACTTGCATTCATCCACACCTGCACACTCCCAACCCTACACATACTCACACCCGCAACCACAGCCACATCCACACCCATACCCTTTTTTCTACCTTATCAGTATGTCAACAATTCGTTAACCAGCAAACTTGCCTTGATAAAACATTCTGTGTCTTATCAGCAACCATCAAATAAACAACACACTAGCATTACTAAGCAAAGTGGTATTTTTCGCAAGCACATCTTTTGTCAAGAGTTGACGATGAAAATATTAAATGTCCTTGCCTTTTTTGTTTCTACTTGTCTATTGAAAAATGTAAATGCCAATCGAACGATTGTCGTTCCAACTGCCTATGGTGATGTACTGGGTTACGAAACAGACATGGCTCGCATTTTCTATGGTATCCCATTTGCACAACCACCCGTCGGCAGCCTAAGGTATATTGTGTAATGTAGAATTGTCATTTTAAGTGTTTCACATCATATGCATAGGTGGAATTTACCAGTACCAATCGCCAAGTGGAGTCCGAAAGTACTCAATGCTACGACACGGGCACCGGCATGTCCTCAACCGTCGTGCAGTGGCATACCTTCTATTCTCTGTCCTACAGTTGTATGTCTACATTATATTGTCTTTCATCACTTACAACACTATTCATTTTTCTGTTTCACACGGATCTAGTTCGATGAAGATTGTCTCTATTTGAATATATTCACGCCACTACCGAAAAATCCATCATCAACATCTTTGCCTGTTATGATATTTATTCCCGGTGGTAACTTTCAATATCTAGACGCTTCAGTACCAGTCTACGAATCTGAACGCATTGTCAATACTACCAATGTTGTCATTGCACTCATTCAATATCGCCTTGGTGAGTGAAACATTTGAACGAATAGTTCACATTTTCATAATTGTAAGGCGCTCTTGGCTTTCTTGCGACGGGAACGGGACCAAACGATATCAAAGGCAACTATGGTATTCTTGATCAACGATTGGCGATTGCTTGGGTCAAAGCAAATATTGCTTCGTTCGGCGGTGATCCAAATCAGGTTTTCCAAAGAAATTCACCAGGAAGAAAAACTAGAGTCATTTCTTTTCATTCATAGATTACACTATTCGGTCAAAGTGCTGGAGCACAATCGGCCGCTTTACATCATATAACAAGCGAGATGCAATCGTTCTTTCAGGCTACTATCGTTCAAAGTGCTCCTATGGCAATTCCTTTCAGGTATTCATAAAGATTCAATGTGTAATACATTATTGTTCTCTTTCAATTTAGAACATACGCGGAATATATTACGCCTGCCGTTCTTCTCACTGAATATCTGAATTGTACTGTTGGTAATATTAGTTGCTTACGCAGAAAATCCTTTCAGGACATAGCTGTCGCTCAAACTAAAGTCAATAGTATGTTGACTTCATTAGAATTTCTACTATTCTTCGAACCATGGGTGCCAGTTGTTGATAACAATATTGTAACGGGTCAGCTCATTGACATTATCCATAACACATCTTTTCCACTCAAACCCCTTATTATCGGAACATTGACAGAAGAAGCAATTTTCTATGTTTATGAAGGTTGGACTAAACCAGTATTGCCAACTGAATATGTCGAATTTATACTTTTTACTTTTCGTGAACGCGCAATTAAAGTACTCGAACGATTTCCACCAACTGGATGGGAAGATCAACGCTTACTCATGTCTCGCATTGCAACACACTGGGTATTTGCATGTCCAACACGTATTTATGCTCGTATAGCTGCTAATTATTCCTATGTCTTCGATTTTCCACTCGATTTCGACGGATGGGAAAATGAGACATTCTGTAATAATCATGTGTGTCATGCCGGTGAACTACCCTATACGTTCGAATCGGCTTGGGTCAATTTTACTGATGCAGGTAAACGTGTTTCAATGAGTATGGCTACTTACTGGACAAATTTCGCTAAAACTCACAATCCAAATCAACCAGTATCATTGCCACTAACATGGCCAAAACCAGGCAAAGAGGAAACTTATTTGTACTTTCAAGATCCACTTAGTATTCGACAAGCTTATTTGTCAGAAGAATGTGACTTTTGGGATAAGATAGGCTACAGACGAAACTATTTAATTTTTGAATAATTCATATATTGAAAGTGATTCTAAGACTTTTCTTTCTTAATCATTGTCTTGTTCTACAACTTTTCTTTCAAATATAATTTGCAGACACTAGAAAGTTGTATGATCTCTTTGAGTTTGAGCCTGTGCAGATAATCGATCGCTTCAATAGTTGCTGATCAACAGGTTCTGATTGGAATGTATACAACATACAAGGAGGAAACAGTAGAATCCAATAGCAAGTGGTCCTTCAGAGTCCCTAGAACTCTGTCGAAATCTCTTAAAATCCTTGATAGTTCTTTAAGTCTACTATAGAAATCTAATACTACTGTGTCTGGATTTCTCGATCAATCATTACATCAGGTGGAATAAATATTAGTCTCGAATTAAAGGCAAATGTACACTATCTTTCTATTATCTGCGTGTAGCACAGTCATTGACTTTACAACTTTAAATTAAACAAAATATGGTTCATTTAAAAATAAAAGCAATCAATATTACATAAAGAAAAGACATCTATTGATTCTTTTTTGTTAGTCTTTATTACTCGAAGTAACCTGTCGTTTCAGAGTTTACTTTTTTCACCTGTTAATAAGCAAAAAGCAGTTTGGTAATGTGAATATGTTCTATCATGATTAATTGAAACTTTAAAGTAAGAATATTTCATGTGAGGTTCAATTGTATCAAACACTGTTATACTCCAAAGAAGTCTTTTTTTTATGGTATTTATTAACTCTCTTGTATCATGTTGTTCGTATCCATTAATGTAATCATCGCTCGAGCAAAGATCGTCATTATTGTCATCGTTATCATCATCATTATCACCAATTGTTTCAAACTCTTCATCATCCAGATTGCCTACTTGAGATAAATAGTCGTACATCGTAGATTTTGATTTTAATGGTGCAAATACATATTGACTTAATAGTTCTAAGCCAAGAACAAGGTATTTTGGCAATAAAGTCAATCTTTTTAGGTCATCAAGCATATCAATAGCTTTATGGTACGCATTCGTGATGACTTGTTCGGTGCCTATTTGATCAGTCTCATTCTGATTTTCTGTAAATGATAATTGACGATCATGTCGATTCTTTTAACGAACCAGAATGATCATATTGTCAAATGACTCATGGTGAAACTGTTTCAATTTTATATTGTAACGATTATTGACCATAACACTTCACTTCACTTCACTTCTCTATTCTATATGACTTCTCTTTCAATGTTGACCTTGACGATGTCTGTTTCTCTTCCTCTTCTCTTGTGTGACTAGTATATAAGGATATGTTCGTAGTGATATAGACACAACTGGAGTGATGAAGTAGCTCAATAAACATCATTATCGAGGGTGGCGACAGAGCTACTCACCCAGTTCGTCATAAATATCATCCAGTAGTGACAACTTTTAAGCGCATTATAAAAAATCATGTGGGATGAAGTTGACTGTAATTGAGTAAATTCCATTTAACGCTCGCTTGTGAGTGGGTGTGGGTGTGGATGCGTGTAAGTGTGGACGAAAAGAAGATCAGCACTCACACC